CAACTGTTTATACTATTGGCGACTGTATCTATTACAATTTCGGATGAAACAGCTGATCATTTTCCCCATAATAAAAGTTGTTGACCCCAAGAAGTCCTGGAATATAATATTATTACACTTTATATGTTACCTGTTGTACGAAGGCTCGCGTTAGATGTGGCGCGGAGCGTTCAGCGTGCTCGAACGCTCGTCGCAATTCCTCCACAGCGGCCGCGCTGCCGGCGCCGTGTTTACGCGATAACTGTACACAAAACGATACCATAATAGGGGTGTAGACAATTTATTTTATATTTTTATTTTATAGATATAACATAACGGTGCTATTAATAAACAAGGTTTAGCGTCAGAATAAACTTTAAAAGTTTAGCGTCAGAATAAACGCTAAAATTGCAATTTTAGTATTAGTCCAAATTCATATTATTCAGAGATTGTGCAAACCTACTGCCTCCTAGGAGTAAGAGTGATATTAACTATGCCAAGTCTCTGTTCAATAATATGAATTTTGCCTAATAGTAAGTGCAGTCTCAGCGTTAAATTTACTCCAGCGCTAAACCTTGTTTATTAATAACACTGTAATGTGTCCCTTATTTTTCAAGTTCTTGATATTTTTACGCATACCCTTTAAAAATGTTACTTACAACTTAGTATTGATTAGGAAATAATTTTGCACCATTTAATGAAAGATAACCCGTGCCGAGTTACGATTTAAAGTTGTCCATACAAATAGCACGAGTACTGCGCTGTGCCCCGTAAACACGAGTTCCTTTTTTATCATTTCTTAAACAATTTTAAAAGAAAATCATTTTGCTATACTCGAAACCAAAACCTTTCGCAATCCGGGCGGAATACCAAAAGTTCGTGGCTTCACAGAATACCTAGGACTGGTGGATTTTTAAAACATTTTTCTTTAATAATATTAATTTTATAGTTAACTAAAATATCAGGTTAAAACACGATTTTAATAAACTTTAGAGGCTCTGTCGATACGGATTTAAGTCCTAATTTTGTATTTAAGTATGTTTTACATACAAAATTTAGGGGTTACGCATTTCGAAATTTATAATAAAAAAAAAGATCTGGTCATATGATATTTTCAAAATATCATTCATTTGTTAAAATCTAAAAATAAATTTCTGCTTCCAAATTTCCACTAGGCCACTTCTGTAATAGCTTCACTATGACATCACAGCCCTAAGAAACTAATATCGTTCTATGTATGCATAAGGTTGTATGCTCCAACTTCTGATATGAGTTAGGTGGGCGTGACAACGAGCCACGCGCTGTTTGTGGTCACGTGACAACGAGTATAAAATATATCTAATTTCAGCATTATTATTAATACAATAAGCAAAATTGTGATTACCGGTAATAGTATATTAAACACTAAGAAAAAAAAAATTCATTTTCGTTTACTGTCTACACCCGTATTATATATAACGTTAGTTTACACGCATAAAGTTGATAAATAGTTAACTGAATTCGAAAAAGATAAATGTATGACATGACAATTTATTAATAATCTCATTTTATTTATAAAAATATAATCACCTCATTTAAAAGTGGATAAATTAGTTGTTGCAAATATGGATGTCTTCTGACTTTGTTCTCTTCTGTATTATTAGATCCTCTATGGTCCAATGGTGACGCCTGTAAAAAAAATTGTTCTGTTTATCCAGTCATCTTAATATCATTACACTTTTACAGATATTGTAATTTGATAATGACACAGAATCGTTATCAGGGATGAGCGGGGAAAAGGTATCTTTTTTGAATACACTCGTTTGGGACGCGCCGATCAGGAGTGTGGCAAAAATCATATTGTGCTATGTAGATTAGTGTTGTATTTTTTTATATTATATTCCTGACCTATTACAAAATATGCAATATGGTAATAAAAAAATAAAAACGAATATGCTAACTCCGACGCAACGAGGAATGACCAGAACAGCTGTATTTGTATCTACTCTGGTTTTTTTTATAAAAATTAGCTACCAATTGTATGTATAAATACAAATAATGCGTATCTCTAACGACACTGTTTTGACATGACAGCTTCCTGTTTACGTATGACGTCACATACCAGTAAACCAAACCTGTTATTGGTTGCGACCACAACCAACCAACAGGGCGTTTTCTTCGTTCATTAATATTCTTAAAAAATTTTCTTTACGTTATTCTAAAGCTAAACATATTTTTGTCTGCAGTTTCTAAATTAGATTATTATCTAACAGGATGACCATAATACGCAACTTATTTTTAATAGTTTATTTTTAACATCTATAAAATAATCTGATTGAAATGCATTAATAAGTAACTAGGTTTTTTAGGGTTCCATGTTAATATTTTGGTGCTAACGCCCTAAATAACTGAGAACCACCAGTCTAGAACTAAGACAAGTGTTGGCTATCTATAAAAATTACGCTTACTTAAAAGAATAAAATAACAAAAACGAGTATACTCTCTGACAATTTGTATTTCGTGTGTCACTATTTTATTTGGCGTGTATTCGATGTTATAGTTCATTGTGTCCGTGGTAAATACGTACTGCTTTATTATAAACTACAGTGTCCCGGTTGGATGGCGTGTGTTCTGGCCGTTCCTTCCTATCGTCGTTCCGCTCCCGATCCCGTTCCCGTTCCCTTTCCCGCTCCTTCACGTTCCTCTGCTCTACAACGGGTGTGGACACGGTCGTCGATTGTCGCGGCTGAAATGATAAAAACAAATAATTTTGTCAGTTTATAAATTACACATGAAAAGGTTGGAGGTAAATTTTTCATTACAGATATTTATCAGTATTGCATTTTGCAAAATTCATAATGAGATAATATGGAAAAACTGTAGGAAAATAGTAAAAATATTATTATTACCGATCAAAATTTTCAGCCATTTTAGACAAGGTAGTTTGATTGTTGTTATGATAGGTGATAAGAAGTACACTGGGAGTCATCTAGTATGATACAACTATTTATTTTAGAGTTTCTGGAATTGCTGCCCAAAGTAAAAAAAAAACATTGCCCGCCCGTCCGTGGTACCATTCATTTAAACACAAAGAATCAGATTACATATGCAGAATGATATTTGGCCACTGCAAGCCTCCCGTCGGTCTAGATGTAAGGTCACCAGTGACACTAAGTGCGTCTATTGTAACGAAGAAAATGCTGACTTACTACATTTTATAATAAAATGTTCACATCAAGATTTCAAAAAAAATAGACTGGTCTGGAATACATAGTGACAGTGAACTTGAAACCGACAGTGACATTTCACTTGCGCTTGTCACGGTTAGTTGCAAAAACGTCCATTAAAGTTTAATGACGTCGTTAAGCTCTAATGAAGATGCTTTTACAATGACAGTGATTCAAGATGCTTTTAACCGTTACCTACTAACCTAAATAATACAAACTTATCAATTTAGTGAATATAATTGTTTGTTAAAACCGTAAATGTTATTGAAGGAGACAAGAACGAGCTTGGCAAAAGGCCAAGAACCCAGTGCCGTTAAACACATATTTGAAAAAAGAAGCTCACTGGCGCCTTGTCAGCGTGGTTGTTGTTGTTGGGCGGTGGGGGCGCGGCGGCGACGGGCGCGGGCTTGGTCACCTCTGCGGGGGGCTCCTCGCGCGTCACGCCGCCGTTCTGCTTAGCGCCCGGCGATACAGCACGACCCACTACCACTGCACACATATATTAATATTATATACATTAAAGATGCGCCGAATATTCGGTATTCGGCGTATTCGGCCGAATTATTCGGATTTGATGCCGAATATTTTCGGTTCGAGTATTTCTATATATTGGCCAAACAACATGGTATGAACCTAAATGACAAAACTTCCTATCTGATATTTATGATAGTTTTTATTATTTATTATAAATCAAAGAAATTCAATGAGGAATGTGTTCAATGAAGTTAATAAAGAGCAATTAAACGTCAAATCAACATTTAGTTTTGTTGGCGCGGCAAAATAATGAAATGGTAAACCGAATAAATCGGCCGAATATCCGGTTCGGTAATGGTTAACACGAATAATATTCGGTATTCGGTAATTCGATGAAACGAATATTGGAGCCATCTCTAATATACACTATATTTACATAAGAAGTTCATTCGAACTAGCGGCGAAAGTTATTCTTAAATCTTACATCAAAATCGTATTAGTAATTTTGTATGACAATCCGAAAGTAGCGTACTACTCATATGTATTAACATCGACACCTGAAGACATATTAGTCTATTTTCGAAGTGCTAATACGAATCCAAAGAATCGTATTTTTCGATAAATTTATGATGCAACGGTGGTAAGACCTGACCCTGCATCCGAATGCAGAGATAATCATCATGGATATGATTTTATAAAAATTAATAAAACAAAAACAATCGTATGAGGACAAATAGAATAGCCCTCAGGTGTCACGTTAATACTCGAGAATTTCATACAAATCAGCGGAGAAAGTTTTTTCGTGATTGTGTTTGGCTTTGATAAACTGCAGTTTGAAGCCCAGTTTTTTTTTATCAAACATGTTACTCGTAATCGATAGCTCGATTACGAGAGTGCTCGATGGTGCAGCGATTAGCGGGTTCAGTCTGCGATGTGGAGGTTAAGTAGCTTTCACAAGGCTCAGTCATAGGATGGGTGACCAAAAATTATCTCGAACTTATTTGTACTTTGGAAAACACATTTCTGTTGGTTCCGGCTACATCTGCAATCGTTAGTACTCATTCTGTCCGTGTGGTAAGCGTGAGCCCATTCTCTCTATTCGACTCATTTCAATTCCATCCACCGATAGTTCTTATGCCTATCACACTATATCACAATGACAACAATATGCTGAAGACAATAGATTAGATATAACAATAGCGCCATCTATAATACTTATCTAATATTAAAAACAATATGTTTGTATTGGGATATGTCAGTATGATAGGCAGTATGAACACCAATGCGAACATTATAAACGCGTGAAACCGTTTAAAGTTGTTTTATTTAATGAGTAGCGCTCGTGAATACATAAGAAATCAGTATGAGTTATCTATCTATCAATGAGAATTGATATTTGAATGTGTATGTATTATAATTACCGGTATCAGGCGGCGGACGACGCTTATCATCCGATGTTTGCAGCGCTCTAGCGGCTGCTCCTCCGCGCACAGTCATTATCCACGGCTCGTCCGCTTCGCCGTCACCGCCCCGGCACTCCTCACTGTACAACAAACAATAACGTTACATCATATTGGTTGTAATAATTGACTTAACACTATAAACAAACAAATCATTCTAAGGGCTCCTTTTCATTAATCGATAACACTTCTTCCTGTCTTTGAAATTTAACGATTTATGTAAGATAACTTCTATAATGTAGTCGTTCTACAGTTTGAAGGTGGTCATATTGTTTGCGTTACAAAAACCACTCGCAAACTCGGCTCATTTTTTCGTTATTTCGGTTCCATAAAGATTGATATCGATGAGTAAGAGTCAATCAGACGGAATACCAATAAGCTTCTAATGGACGATTGTGTTAAAAAGCGACGGTTGTTCCGTCGAGTGTGCAAGGATGAACGTCATTTCATAATTTTTTCAGTTTTGTGCCACTTTCCCACAGGGACGGATCCAAAGCTTAAAAAGAAAACCTTTTTAAGGTTTGGTCACAGTCACCCGAAAACAGGCCAAGTGTGAGTAAGAGTATTATATCCTTGTTCAAAATATGCAATGTGCATTCCTACAAAGGAAATGAGATCAATATGTAGACGCCGTGCGTGATCAAGATTTTATATAATATACACACAAGTTAAATAAAAATTGACTCGTGTCACCTTATAATAAAACAATTTTAAGAAAGATTTGATTATTTGTTTTCATTGAATAGACTTCGAAAGCACTGGAACGTTTTTTTTCTGTCACCTGCGAGAAGCTACAACATACGCGGGTGATAGAGGCTATAATTTATTGCAAGCGAAGTGGCATAAAATAGATAGTAATCAACAAAACTTTAGGTAAAGCCATTATTTTTATTGTAATCATCCCATTTTTTTTTTCATTTCAGCAAAAACATAAATTAATCTTTAAAATAATGAAAAAAAGAAATACGTTAAACGAATTAGACGAATTAAAGCCGATTTGTCAGTTCACGTCAGTCGAGAATTGAGACGGCAAACGCAATCTTTTAAAACACGCCGGGGGGATTAAACATTTGCTCGATTCCTCAGAGTGGCTCCGTAAATGTACCCATTTACCTTACGGCATAATCGTATCACTAATTATATAAATGAATATCGGAAATAAATAATTATTAATTACCATGTGATTAACGGCGTTAAAATAATATTGAATTACGAGAACGTGTTCATATTCCAGAGTGTATCTATACTAATATTATACAGAGAAAAGTTTGATGTTTGTTTGTTTTTGCATTGAAGGGTCCGAAAATACAGAGCTGATTTAAAAAAAAATTCTTGCTCTTGCGTAAAGCTACATTTTATGACGGGTCAAGTAAGCTAGATATTCTTTATACAGGTTCCCTGCTTCCGAAATTATTGTTCGCTTTATTGTACAAATTGCACTTATAAACACTTTGGCTAAATAAAAATAATGAAATGGTAAACCGAATAATTCGGTAGAATATCCGGTTCGGTAAAAGTTGAACCGAATACTATTCAATTACTATTCAATCCGAATATTGGTCAAACAACCATAAGGTGCATATGTAATTCAAATCATCATTCGAACCAAAAACGCTAATAACTTAAAAAGTTATATATATGTTATCCCGTAAATCGCTAACACAATCACTATATATTTAAAAAGGATTCCGATAGATTTTTAAATAAGACAAGTAGCCCTTAGAAACGTAACTGGACGACATTGCCCAAAGATGAATGTAATCGATCCCGTTCATTTTTGGTCGTTTGGCCGAATTCCATAAGCATTCAAGCGAGCGACCAAGATTAGTCTTGATTTTAGTCTTGTTAAAATTAAAATATCAATTAAATAAGAAAATTATACTCACGAATCAGAATTCTCCGATTCTGTTTCGCTCTCCTCGCTCCGCTGCGACTTCCATTTCTTATACCTATCTATAAGATCCATTAAATATGAATTCTTCTTAGCTTTCCTGATAAATTGGAACTTAAGTAACTCCTTTGCCGTTGGTCTCTGAAATAAGAAAACTAGTATTGATTATTTGTTAAAACGTAAACAGGGTCGAATTTACACGTATTAAATTTTCACAATAATAAACAAAAGTTCAAATTAACGTTAATATTTTCTCTACTGACATATTTATCACGTATCATTAAAATACAGTATATATTATAAAAAATAAATTGATTCGTTTCCCTTTTAAAATAACATTTCTCAAGAATATAAAAACCTATCAACTACTTTCACGGCACAACAAACATACCCGAGCCGAATGAATATTTTCAAATGCCCCAAAAACCATTACTCAGCAACCTGCGACCCGACATAGGCACCGTGTAATCCTACCCAAAGAAAGGCCATCGCCATCCATCTATCGTAGGGGCCGTATATGATCTACATCGGCCTCGGTCCTTGATCGAGTGATATAGATTATTTCTTTTCATCCCCAAAATGATAAATTCAAAAACCTTTCTTTACTAAAAGTGCTTTTACTGTTAAATTTACGTTCAATACCTTCACTTTCTTTTAAGGTAATCGGGACATTTATTTTCGTATACAAGAATATCAAGACTTTGTAATACATATCGGGGTTTATTTTAAAATCATAGCAATCTTAATATAGATAAAGTAAAAATAACAATCTATTCGATGACTCTTTCAAGTAGCAAAATCAAATTAGTGTTACTTACACTAATATAATAATTATATTTTTTTTTTCATAATAATTAAGTTTATCTCAACATGAATTACATTCAATCTCCATATCAGTGAGCAGCCTATCTCTCGTTTGGTAATATTAATTCAATAAGATATCCTATAGATACGCAAGAAAGCAGACTCAAAACAATACAACTTACATTATCTGGGTCCTTATTGAGGCACGCCTCGACGAACTCTTTGAAAGGCTTGGAGTAGCTCCCGGTTAGCTGGGGAGGGTTATTCTTGGGTATTAGGAACAGTACCCTCATGGGGTGCAATTCCGAGTTGGGCGGTTCACCCTTGGCTAGTTCGATAGCTGTGATCCCCAAAGACCAAATGTCGGCCTTGCTATCGTAGCACGACTGTTTGATCACCTCGGGCGCCATCCAGAACGGCGTACCCACGAATGTGTTCCGTTTGCTAGTTGTATTCGTTAGCTGACCAGCCACACCTGGAAATATATTCAAATATAACTATCTATGGGAAAACTAGGCTTCTTTTACTCTATCGCCCGGATTCTGAATTGAGTATTTAAAGTTAAGCACGTCTCAAACTGTATTTAAACGTCACTTAACAGGTTTGCGTTTCAGATTTTAGCTTTTTTAATTATCAGTTGAAAGCAGTTTGATAAAAACTAGGACTTTGTGTACTTTTCTTAATTCAGAAACCGGCAGTAATTTCACTTTAACATAAGAAAATTTTATAATGTTATCTTTTTTTATTACTAGCTCATAAAGTGTTTATTGCAGTGTTACAGAGAATTTAATTAAAATTCACTTTACTGTGAACAAAAGATAGACATTTTACTAAACAAAGCTTACATTTTCTTCAGAGAAAATACAGTGTAGGTTCGCTTAAAATGATACGAAACTAGACTACACAACGCTCGTCTTTTTACACAAGACATTCACATCGTACTGATTTTAAAGAATTTGTGCACTTTGTATGGTAAACACGTTTTAACTACTGAAAGGTTAACCGTGTTAGGATTCAGCATTGCAAAGGCAAAGCTGTGTACTGTGCAAATATTCATCAAACATTGGCCCGGTGCCAGTACCCCCGGTTAAGGCTGATCCTAGACGAAAAATATAGAGACAGTTCTGAACAACAAACGGGAATGATATTCTTGTTTGTTTACATAAAATCGGGCGATACATTATACTTTCGCATACCGATAAAATAAACTGCGAAACAGAAACAGCTGTAAATGATACATCATACAAAATGTTTGGAATGGAAACCCGCTTCATTTATGTGGAGTTAACACGCTGTGGTGTAAAATACTTTAATTAACATGGCAAAGTCGCCAAGCAGTCTCGTGTGTGTGCGCCTCTATAGTTTAATTACTGACTCGTAAGTACATGTGCCAAATTAACACATGAACGAGAACTTCAGACACATCACAATTATGTGTAGGATACATGACAAGATAGTTGATTTTGTATTTCATTTTAAGGTAGGTGTATGTTTTAGACACAAATGTGTCGCACACATAATAAATTATACAGCTACATTTTCTATAGAATACCTAGTTTTTGTTATTTGTTTATTATTTATTTTAGGATCGGTCATCTGAGCATTACTATTAAAAGTATGGAAAATTAAATATCTGCGCAACGTGATATATCGAAGCGAACGTACGGAATGATACCGGATTCTTTCGCGTCGCACGACCGTGACAGAGATCATTGATTAGATTGCCGTTTTTTTTTATTTTATTTTCATGTTCACTCACCACGCATGGTTTGCTTTATAGCGGCAAGGAGTGATCCGTCCGTTGCCGTATTACTAGTGCCGATCGTTCACAATCGTAAACACTATCGAAATACCACACACCTTACATCAATGTTTACCGTCAACTGTTATTTTGTTAGATTCATACTTTCACCATAACTATATTTGCAAATCACGTGATAACTTTTGATTCAATAATTTTTCTTTTCATTATAAGATTTTAGAATTATATGCGATTTCAAAACATAGTCGTTGATTTGTGTAAACAATGATATGTATACCTATATGGTAATCAAACCGAGCCACACCCTATATTATACCCTATTGTTATAAGTTAATGAAGAAGAAAAATAATAAATATCAATATCCGCGTCTAACTCTATCTACATCCTATCATACTGTTACGGAGCGTAGCGGTGCGATGTCACTAGATGGTGTTATTATGTGTGCGCCGCTGACTCGCGCTAACACTGTCGAAACTACGCGAGTCTTATAGATGTCGGAAGAAAGGGATGACAGTATTGCAGAAACACGAAGAGACTGACTAGAAGGAGGTTCTGATGTGCTCTAGCCTCGTCCTCCGTAAGGGTGAGGTTTAGCCTGAACAGGGGCCTGCCAAATCCCAGGCCCTTCCCCCAAAAGTGAGGATGCAGCGGAGAGGATTGTAAGAGTATACCTACGCGTTTAGACTAACCCTCGAGCGATTATGTGGATGGAGTGAACCGCAGAACTAACAGAGAAGACTTCGGGGAGGGATCATAAGTTTGGCTGCATAACCCGGTCTGCATCAAAGAAAAGTAACCAGAGCTACAAAATGCAAAATGGGATGGACCTTATTGAGTCATGACGAGGATAAATGATGTCACCTATCGAAGACAGAAAAGTCTGCGAAAACGTCGATCGATTAGTGCGGTACCATGGTACTATATATTTTGAAACAAAATTTACGAATTCACTCAATAATAAATAGTGGCTTTCAAAATTTTTATTTAAAAATTAGATTCCTTTGTTCTTGTCCATGAACCTTATTTTCGATAAGGCGCTTGTTAAATAGTAGAATAATTAAAGTGTCATCTAGAAAAGTTGTATACTATGAGTGTGAATTAAGAAACATTTTAGGTGCACACAAGGTCGATGAACCAGTTATACGAGTAAATTTATATCCTTCATTTAAAAGACATTGATTTGTGGTTTTATAAATTGAAGTAACGTACCATGTGAGGTTTTTATATCTACGCTTACAAGATATTTTGTCACCTCTTTAACCAAATTACACTCAAAACACGATTAAACCTGTTTAGAAATGCTTGCGATTAATCGATGAAGCGATATAGATATGAACAATCGTTGTTTCGACACTCTTTAATCGACCTTCTTAGATCAACGAATGATGACTCTATATCATCTGATGTCAGCTTAAGGGCTCTAGTTGTATTAAAGACAAGTGTGATTGATGTAAACAAGTTAATGAATCAAATATTGCGTCTGCGCATTTCAAAAAATCTATATGAAATTCATCCATACCAATTTATAAAATAATATGCGTGAAACTTCTCCCTCTCTCTTATCTATTCTGTTAATGTAACTTTTACAATTACATAAAACTATACAGCTATGGGTTAATTCGTATCGCATGTTTGGCAATTTTATGTGAAATTATCTACTATCGCTTTATGTAATAGGCAACTGTCCTATGAGTATTTTAGTCGCTTTTGAATAGTTACAGCTTGCAACCAACTTTTAATTTTCCGCTTCTTTATATTTATGGTATACAGTACACTTCTAATATAAACAGTAATACAGAACGAATATTTTAAGATATTATAATGGTCTTATCTTACATATTTTTATTTTAGATTTAACATTTTGTATAAAAATACGTCACTAAAACTCACAGAACATTGAAAACTTGTCGCGCTGAGTGGTTCCGTAAAAGGTTTGGGATAAAAATACAATATAACATCTCGATATAAGAATTACGCAGGGTAACATATTTCAGCAAAAGACACTGCAATTTTAACCATCGTTAACTCACCAAAGTCAGCGAGCTTAACGTCGCCCATTTCACTAAGCAGCACATTGGCGGCCTTGATGTCACGGTGCAGCTTCCTCTCTGAGTGGAGATAGTCCAAACCCCGCAGCACCTCGCGCAGTATCACCGCTATGTGCATCTCCTCGAAGCTGCCCGCTTTCATCAAGTCCAAAGCGGACCCGCCGCCCAAATACTCCATTATAATCCATAATTTTGTTCCCTGAAATGAGATATTAATCAATCGTTAAAATTTACTTTCTAAACTTCAAACTTCATAAAACGAGAAATCATTCAGTAAAAAAATATTACTACGTTTAATAAAGTTACACAAAAATGTAGTGAGCTATCTGTAAATAAATTTAAAAGACGTGTCAGGAACACATTTAATCATAAAACAGCACGGACTTTAATTGCCTTTGCTTTGTTTCACGCTAACCAATGTTTATTAAGTTTATGTAAACAGCGATGCTACTTGCGCCGTTTCTTCCTAAAAGACAAAATGAAGAATATTTTGTTTTCAAGCTAGAACATAATATAACGTATATCCTATGTTGAATTAATAATATTTTCAGCTCAAAAAACCACGACCACAATACCGCATATGATCTCAGATTGCAAACTGGTATCTTTGTGAATGTAGAATATGATACAATTATTAACACCAGATCATTGAAAAAACAATATTATCGTTAATATACCTTTTTTGAGATTCACTCAATAATAAATACACAGAATGTGAACTATTAAAATTATTTTCATTCAAAACTTTCAATTTAAACGTCTACCTTTAATGTTTGTTGCGTCTGATATGGATGTTTTCAATCGGAAATCATTTTCAATGTCTAAGACATGTTTATGTTGCGATTGCGGTACTTGAATCCTCAGATAAAAAATACATATTACCAATCAGTAATAACATCGCAGCACGGAAAGATTAAAACGTATTTGGAAACATGATGCACGACGAATTGAGAAATACAATCGAGGCGTACAATTAAACGAACAATAATCGTGACTCAATAACGATACGCAAACGATTGTACAATATGGATCAGTACAATTTTTCTGGTACAATAATTAATGAGAGCAACGAAATGTTTTCAGCAATAAAAATATAAAACTATTTTTCAAAGCAAACACTTCGTTTAATGCTTCCCTTTTGGTGGAAGAGGATTATGTACGATGTATGATATGAGTATATATGTATGATAATAATATCCTTATAATACTTTCTAGTTATGCAACAACGGTAAGGTTCATTCGTCGTTTATTTTATTAGTTGGCTGTCAGTGGTGGACGGGTTATGGCAGTGAAACACGACATCCACATCAGGGCGTATGCAGTGCTGCAACGCGGAAGAGACAATGCGAGTAACGGACCGAGGATCCGGCGCGAGCGGACCATTCACGCTTCACCAGTCGTACACATGGCTTGGGTGATAGACAGGGCCAACGTAACTATTGACAGATTATTTTTAAAGCGCACGTGATTTAAACAAAACCGTAAGGCATATATGATGCCACCATAGAAGAATTAAGAGTTGAATACGAACGAAAACGTAAAACATTGAGAGTCCTAAAACGAACGTTTTTATTCATTAACCGGTAAGTCATTAAGTTATCAACAAAAACTGGCACACGGATCACTATGATAATGGACAAAGTTTAAACAAAGTGAAAGATGAAAACTATTTATATTATAGAGGAACGAGAATGCTGAAATAATTCATACGCATTAAAAAAATCAAGTTGTTTACCTGGGTTTACGTCGGGAATATACGCGGTGCCTCGTCGGCACAAAGTCGAGAAAATTCTTCGACCGTAAAGATATTTCAACCCATCAACATCAAACAAAAGATCTGAAGAGGAAAATAATGAGACCCCAACGAAATTTTCATCAAAAATAAATAGAATTATGTACGCGAAACGCAAACACAAACTTGCATATGACATTTACATAATAAATAACGACGGACGAATAATAATGAACAAAAATAATAAATACGAAACATTGGAGAGTTTCGGGACACGGGTAAAGTTATTTTGACAGCACTCACGAAATCCTCTAACATCGGAAACTGTGACCGTTACTTTTAAACATACGTATAGAACGTAGTCAAGAAGTTATTTATTTTACAGATTAATTGGACAGCTGGTAATGCTGGTATATATATACGTGATATATATCAGTCTTTATTCACATAAACTTATAAGTGTTTTCGTTCACAGTTCATGTCTAGATACAGTTAATATCACTGACATAACCAAAGTCCATCGTTATCGACTTTTTTTAGTTTTAAAGAAGGTCTTAATCCAAGATTCGATAAGAACAATGTAGCGCCCTATAAATATTAAGGAAAAAAAGGTAAGCGTTATAAACGCCCATTACGCAGATAGGTAATTGATTTAACCTAGAATAAATTAAAATTACCAAACACGAAGGCAGTCTTTACGCGAACTCGCAAGCGCTCAGCATGTCGTTGAGGACATAAAAGCAGATTTTTTATCACTCAGAGGCTCATTTCGTAATAAGCTTTTTCATATTCTGCACGAGGCTTGTTCTATGTATCAGTTGCCATGGAGACCGATATGGCGTCGGTCAAAGACCTCGACGTCGTCGCGACACCCAAAGTACAATAAGAAGAGAACACTATTATTGCGAGAAGATTCAAATAAGGTAACGAACCGAAGTCCCAGTGCAACGGTTGATGGGATTAAAGGGACTGCAAGCCGGAGTCGGGCCAGCTCGTTACGAAGTTAACTTTGCGCTAAACTTGTTAATTCATTATAACTTCAATCATAATGGTGAGGCTCCAGTGCTGGTCCGGAGAGGCGTAGACGCGTTTAATTACTTTTAAAACTCGCATGTTAACGTTAATTAGTCTAACTTGTAAGTTTAATGCCTCGAAGTAACATTATATAACTGGAACAAATCAATATGATCACAAAATTGTAATAATTACCGAAAATATAGATTTGCAAAATTCAATTTAGGTTAAAATTGCAGCAAACATCAAAAATATTTCATCCGTTCGTAATGTAATTCAGTTGATTGTTACTTTTAACATATCAGTATCGTAATTTAATATAAATATATTCTAATTGCATAAAGTTTGATTGTTCAAAATTTATTGAACGCGCTTTAAAATATATATTTTTTTATATTCTATTAACATATTTATTTTATGAAATAAAGTTTCAGTTTTCCAAAATCCCCATACAGTGTGTTAAATAGATTTTTATTTTTAGTTGGTAATAAATATAATTATAATATTCAAATGCGAATGTACGAGGTTAGCTACAAGAATATAGTTAGCAATCTTACCGCACATTGAACTCATAAAACAATAATTACGTGCAGACCAATCACCTTCACATAATACTGATAATTTAACATTGTAATTTCAACAGTAACAACGTAAATGAAATGTCTAGTGATAATGGGTTCATCATTCGTATAACTAATTCAGCAGCGGTTGTCATGGCAATGCGTCGAGGGCGGGCGGGCGCCCAGAATCCGCCCGCCTCGATAATTTCCCGCCCGATCGGAGCTAGCTAGTTGCCTGTAAACAACAGCTATGCGGCCAATTTAAGTTTGTAAGAACATCGAGTTATCGCAAACTTGCGCGAACTCTTTTCTATAGGTACCCCCTTTTTAAAAAGTACCTAATCTGATGAAAAAAACTTTCAAAGGATAAATTTTGTAGAGGAGTCATTTTTATACAGCCTGTCAGATGTTACTAGAAATCATAACAATATCTATACGTTTTACAACTTTCCATTTACTAAATTCTTAATTAAAAAAATATTTGCCGTTTTGCCGCGACTTTTCTCGCGTAAAATATAGCCTATGTCATCCGTGTATGATGTAGCTTCCCGTAGGTAAAAGCAGTCGAGTTGATGAGCCTGTTCAATGCGAACAAACAATTAAACCTTTACTTTTTGTAATTATATAATTAGTATATAAAGTATAAGCTTTGGAATTTAACACCGCCAAAAATAGTCACAATTGTAAAGGTCACACAATAAGGAATATGCATCTGATTCATAAAAAGGTTTAACATACTTTAGCACGATCATTATTGCTTTAGAATAAAGTCTATGTTAATATTTTTTAACATAAATTCGTTTTCGTCTTAAAAATAATTATGAAAAAGTGCAAAAAATTGCGGTAACTTCAAAATATTCAAACGCCATGCTACTTGTCAGAATGAATGTGACGAAAATCAAGACGTATATTGATGTCATTGTAACAAAAAGTTGACATCGATGCAATAACATAAATGTATTATGTAGCAAAATAAACAACAGATTACAATTTAAATGATGTTTTAGGTTTTTATTTTTATTTCATTAATTTGTTAAACTATATGATTTATTAAAAAAGTCTATAATACTTTAAATAAATCGATTAGTTGTTAATCGATTTGGGTAATTGAATAATAGTCAATCACTCAAATTCCATATTGATTTAAAATGTCATATCTCTAGTCGTGTACTTTGACGTCACGACAAGAGCGCCAAAAATTCCGGTGTTTTAACTGCTCGTAGCTATTACTTATTTTCATCAATTTTCTCGGTGCCGGATATTTTTTTACTGTATCGATGTAAATTATCATATAAAAACATTTTTCAAAAGTATGCATATTCCCTATTGTAAAATTACAATAATAATTAATGAGGAAAATAAACGGTCTGATAAAAAAACATAAATAGAAATATAATCTAAACTAAACATAATTAATATTTATTATTGATAATAATAACCAAGGGGTTTACGTGGTTACTTTAATCACACAATTATGTCATAATCACAAATGTTTTATTTTTTGGCTAAACGTATATATTTATTTGATTTTTTACCACTCTTGTAAATGACATATCACTTAAAGAAACTTTCCATATTATGTGTTATGCGACGTTGATGGAGTGCGAATCGGCGGTACATGAAAAACTTTTGTAAGTTTATGTTGTACCGTTCAGATAAAAAATAAGCATAAAATTATTTTATTATTCACTAGCTTCCGCCAGCGGCTTAGCCCGCGTGGAGTCTAGGGAAATTTTAAGTGGGATAAAAAGTATCCTATTATCTTAGTCAGCTAATACCCTATCTGTATACCAAATTTCATCAAAATCCGTTCAGTAGTTTCGGCGTGATTGACGGACAAACATCCAAACATCTAAACATCCAAACAAAGAAACTTTCACATTTATAATATTA